TCCAGACATTCTAGTTTATCAGTAAACAATACGGCAGAGGGAGGCCTTTGGGGAGGCAATCCTCCCCCATCCGCTTTGACCCCCACCCCCCCACCCCTTGTCTCCCAAAGAGTTCCGCCGCTACTGATGAACCTTCAGCGAGTACAGTCTCTGTATCGGGAAAAAAAGAAGAAAAACAGCCTCGCAGAACACCATTCGCGCGCAAATAATAATACTGGTAAAAGCAAGCGATCTACAGACAATGCTGACGGCAAGTTCGTCTGCTTCTTGCGCAGGGGGTAGTGGTGACGTCAGAACGCCGAGCCCTGATTGGCTGATCGCGACCCCCTATCTGAGGGTCGTCTGCTCCTTTGCAACGTCGTCTGCGTCTGTCTTACCTTTCCTGCGACTTTCGGAAGTGCAGAGGCCAGATTCACGAAACGATCTTACGCCAAAAATGTGCGTAAGACAAAACTTAAGAACAAACTCCTATTCACGAAACGAAATTTTCGTACGTTTTGCGCAGGTTACGACAAAATCCTACGACAGCTTCAAAGCTGTCTCACGCACTTCTTACGATTAAATCAGCATTGCCAACACGTCGCGGTCGCAACGACCCACGGACGTTTATTTTTCTACGTGCGCTTCTCACGCGTCCCGACTTCAAGCAGCAAGAAAAAAGTAAAAAGTACTTGAAGCAGTCCGCGACGAACAAGAACTCTGGATCCACAAACACCCAGGAAAAGTTCCAACGGCCACGATTCCTCCGAACACGACCAAGCGAGTACGGCAGTTAAGCCTGGCCGGCACTCCGCGACTCGGCGACCGTCTGCCCTAATATGCCCGCGCGACCCTTGTGAACCCTTCCCGTATTATACATTGACCGCTTACCTCAATTTTAGATTAAGAGGTCAATTTCTTCCTCTTGTTATCTCCTTGTTTCCTGAGGCAACGATGGCTCTCGCCGGTGAAAAAGCGGTGAATCTCCGACAGACGCAGGAAAGGTAAAGCAGCCATCGCTTTTAGTAGCAGACGTAAAGCAGACGACGTTAACTGCGCCAACCCGCCGACGCCGTTAAAGAATAAGGGGTCTCGCCGCACACGAAAGGAGGGAAAAAGTATTTGGGAGGGAACTTGCGGACACAAACCACCCTCACTCTCGGTTCTTAGCAAACAAACCTCGGCGCCTCGGGACACCTCGCCAGTGAGTCCTTTGACTTCCCTCCTTGAAGCGCGTCTGCTAGATGTTAGACAAAAACAACGTACCGCTCGAGTTACTTCGTCTGCCCTCTCTGAAAGGCGAAGTCACGCTCGCTCGTAAAGACCTGCACTTCCGAAAGTCGCAGGAACGGTATGAAAGACGCAGACGACGTTGCAAAGGAGCAGACGACGTTCAGATAGGGGGTCGCGATCAGCCAATCAGTCTCGGCGTTCTGACGTCACCGCTACTTCCTTTCTCATGCGCAGAAGACGGAAATGAGCCCACTTGCGAGGCGTATAGCAAGCTTTCTGAACGCAGGAAATAAGCTAGCTCCAACGAACAAAGAAACAAACTTACTTCGCATCCCGTGCCATGATCTTGGCTGTTGGGCTGCTTTGACGTAGTTCCACTTCTCACAGTCACTTCCGTCTTTTTCGGACACGTCTGAAAACGAGCGTTTCGCCGCATTAAGGTTGCAACGCCTATTGGCTGAGAGAAAAAGCAAAAACAAGCAAAACAGCACAAACAGGAAGTGACGAAAATTTTTGTTTTGTTTGTTTTTGCTTCTTTCAATTTTACTTTTTTTTTTACTTTTCGTTCCTCCTAGGCTGTGTTCCAACATTTACTCGATCCGACTCCGGAGTAAAAGTTTCGTACCGTGGCGTTCCAAAACTTACTCGAGCTTACTCGATGACGTCAGAACTCGCGTTCCAGAAGCGGGTTGTTTACTCCGGAGTAATTACTCGCGCTACCCTCCTCGATCGGGGGGTAAAGTCGGATCAAATCGAGTAAATACGTCACGTGATCTGTTCGTCGTCTGCTTCCTGCGCCGACAGCCGTCAAAGCTCGCTTGCTCCGTTGGTTTTGGTGGCGGACGTTCGAAATGACAAAGAATTAGGTGCAGCATGTGTGGTTATTGCGATTTGCTGTTGTCAACGCAGGAATTGACTGCATTACATCCAGACCGTCCACCTTCCCCGGCAACGTGTACTTGTTATTATCTGAGTGCGAGCGTAAACAGGAGCTTCTCCGCATCCTCGTCCTCGGCGTTGGGGGAATGCCGTATTCTCACGTTCAAGGCCGAAAATGCTTGAACTCGGTATATGATAACGTAGTATTTTTGTTTCCTTCAGAGTGTGTGTAATGAGAGGATAACGTTTGTAAAGCAGTGAAGGCTTCGAAAATTTCACTGTAATCACATTCGCGTCACATTCGTGTCTGAAATAAAAGATACATACATACATACAAAGCGAACGTGAGTTTCATACCACTCTGGAGAAAGCACCCTCGCGCTGTACCGCTACACCGTGTGGAATATATTTCTGGAAAACATAATCGGTGCAAATTACAATGCGTGGAATATATGCGTTTAGGGCACCGTGACTAGAATTGCAGCGATCGTGCTGGTTAATAAAAACACGTTTTTTTTTATATCTAGCTGTAAGGAGTAAGTAATTTTGATCTCAATATACAGCTCAAAACGAAGGTGAGTAAAAGGAGCTGGTGAATCCACCTCAAAAAACACCGCGTCGTCATTAACATTACCGTTCTTCGGGTGTGCTTTCTCCATGATCAAAAGGATCGTCTGCTATTTTCTGCCATCGCTGTTGTGTTTTCTTTTGCCGTTGCCCAAGACGAAGCCAATCCGCGTAGTATCCAGGTGATTATCCTGGCCGTTCCAAAATCGAGTCGCGGATCGTTTACTCGCGATGTCACGTGGTATTACCCGCTGACGTAGGAGGCAGGTTACTCGGGTAAGATTTGGAACATAGCCCAAGTGTTTGTTGGGCGCTTTTCGGAGCGGTCGCGTTGGTTCCATATTAGTGGTTCCAGCAGTCTTTCTTGTATTATACATTGTCGTGTTATGTGCCGCGGTATTGCCGAGTGGAGTTGGTCGTGATATTCAATGCTTGGGAACGAGCGTCGGCAGTGAAGTCCACAGCGCATTCAGCGCATTCATGCAAGCCAGTAACAGGCCCCGTCTCGCCACATGGAGGCCCGCGGGACGCTTGTTCGGAAAGTAAAAGGTGAGTGGAATTTACCTACTGGTGGCCTTCGATCGTCGATTCAAGGAGTACAAGTCGTCGATTCAAGGAGTACTGGTGGCGTTCGATCGTCGATTCAGGGAGTACAAGGAGACATGGGATGGGCATCATTTGAGAGCAGGGAAGCGGTGAGCAAGGTAGAATTTGAGGATAGGTTGAGGCAAATGGACGGGGAGCAATGGGCACGAAAGGTTTTCAGCTATTTATACATGAGGAGTGTAGACACAAAGTGGAGACAGCGCACTAGGAAATTAAGAGGAAAGTTTTTGGGCTATAGCGAAGATACGGAAGAGCAAGTCTCAGTTAAGAAGAAAGTTAAGGCCACAGAAAGAGATCGGTGGCTTGAGGGAATGCAGACAAAGACGGCTCTGGAAAGCTATAGATTAAACAAAAGAGTTCTTGCCAAAGAAAGCATTTATGACAATTCAAGGGGAAGCTCATTGCTGTTTGAGGCAAGAACGGGTGTTCTGCGAACCACAACATACAGAGTGAAGTACCAGGAAATTGATACAGTGTGCACTGCTTGTGGAGAGGAGGACGAGACGGCTGAGCACTTGATACTCTACTGTAAAGGGCTTCACCCTATGCCTACCGAAGACAACATAGATTTAATAAAGTCATTGGGTTTTAGAGACAGCGAAGGGAGAGTGGATTTCAAGACTGTAGAGATTACCAAGCAAAGATTAAGTGAATGGTGGCAGAAATCGAGAGAAAACTAGGTATTTTCTCATTCACTGATGGCAAGGGGGTTTCATAGCCTCACTTTCTTTGCACTGCGGAGTGAATATAGATTTCACATTTAAATATTCTAAGCTTAAATGGCAAAACAAAATGGCTAGGTGGCGTAAGCTACCGCCCGATCCAAAGGGCTCAGCCGTATTCATCCATCCATCCAACACCGCTGTGGTGGAATTTGATAGCGCTTGGCTACCTCACGTAGCGTCGGGGACAAAGAAGAAGATAATGGAGATAATCAACGGGAGTGGCATGTGGCTCCCAAGTGCCGCCTGCGCCGCATTTGCATGTTGGGAATGTCAGCTTTTGACGAGCTCGTGCAGTCACAAAAGCGTTCTGTCGAAAGACGGGATTTACAAACAGATCAGGCTTCGCGAATGGCCCTCACGGCGCGTTGAATTTGTGGCGGGTAAATATGTTGCTGTTCGTCCTGGTAGGCCTGCGATGGTGTTTTCTGCACAAATACTGTATTCTGCTTCGTGGTACATTCACACCTGCAGCAGAACTGCTAAGCGATTCTGCTACAGGTTAATTCCGAAGAGTTGTGCTCTTCCATAGTGTGCATGTTAGAGTGACAACAAATAAGTGCCTCTCTGTTCTACTTCTCCTTTGGTATTCAACTGGTTGTATTTTCTGCTACATTTTGTTCAGAAAGCCACTGCGAGACAGGCATTATTGATGTATACTATCCAAAAGAATGCTTGAGCATGAGACGAGGTAACAGAAATACTTCTATATGTGCCTGCTTTTTGTGTTTTTGCATTACAAGGTAACAGAAATACTTCTTTGTGTGCCTACTTTTTATGTTTTTGCAATTCACCGGCTAGACCACTCTTCTCATGGTTATTGTTTTGTTGGGTGGAAAATTTTCCACCCCAGGTGTCCGATGCTTGCGGCTGATGGCTTCTACATACGTGCATCAAACAGCGGGCCTGTACCTTCGCCGAAACAGCAGTAAAACAGTTCTGGGTAACTGCAGCGACTGGGTCACCGATGCCGTTCCACTTCCTGCACTGCACTCCGCATGGGTCAAAGGGCCAGTGCATGCCTTTTATGCGTTGTCGCCAGCCATAGTGAGTATGGCTTGGAGTCACGTCATGCGAGTGAAATGCTTGTCACCTGAGTGACGTCAGTTGGGGGGGGGGGGGGCGCCGCCGCCGCCGTTGGTGCGGCTATGACCGGTGGTCTGCTATCATACACCACCAAGCATCATTGCACTGTTCCTGGATGAACTAGCCGCTCTTGAGGAAGAACAGGGTGCTTTGGGAGGAGCTATGGTGTCCGCTTTTTCACTAGCTCCAGCTGTCGCCACAGACATTTTGTCGAAAGGAGCAACATCTATGAATGAGTAGACGGCGCTGAATGGCCGCAATGGGCCTCGCCTCTGACCGAGGGGGTCAAGATAGTCCCGTTTCAACAGAGGACCTCTTGGGGTATTGTACAACACAGGAAATAAAGGGCCCGAAAGTTTTCTACCCCGACGAGGAGTGGGTTCTGGCAGGACCAATGCGGCTTCGTTCCGTGGACACCTTCATGTGTGGTGGCACAAGGCAGTCATTGCTTAACCTTGCTTAAAGGGGTTATGACACGCCAAAAATAAAATATTACATAACTATACTGCTAGGACCCATTGTATGTTCCTAGAATCCTGCTAAATTTGTTTTGAAAAAGGCGCGATAATTTTGTGGATACATCGATTTATATGCGGGCCCCTCAGATCCGGGCGGACCTGGAGGCTGATGACGTAGCCAGCCTCCAGCGTGGTGTCTACTTGCACGCACTCACAGACTTGGCTCTCTTGGTGTATCGAGCCTCAGCTTCCTCGTTTACCTTCCACGTTTCCAGCATCCGGTCTGTGACGATTACGTCTACGGCATCGATCGCCTTGTTGAAGTGTTCAACATTGATCGAAGCAGCGATGAGAGTGATTGCTATCAAGAGATGTTGGAAGCTGTTCATTTTGACTGCGACCCGCTGGCGACGAGCTCCAGCGACGACGAGTTCGCCGTGGTCACCGTCGTCCGGGAATGTCTCGCAGGCGCATGCAGGGTGGAAGGTCCACCGGCCGGGGTGCAAGAGCGAGAATAGCTTTCAGTTTACCGAGCTGTTTGAGCGTCTACCGCGACGAGAAGAGCTTGGGCGATCATGGGGGTGCCTAGAATGAGAGAGTGTTCATGGTCACGTGGTTTATGGACACCATGGTGTGACTAAGTTGAGCAGTGTTGCCTGGTTGCCAGAAGAAAATTATAAAAATTCGTAAATTGAATATTGCAATTATCAGAGCTCTAAAAATTGCGTAACTTGATGTATATACTAAGTAGCCTATGAGCATTCCATTTCAAGAATAGTCTATCCGTTTAATTTTCGTGTCATAACCCCTTTAAAGATCAACGACTGGACTGGTCATGGGTGGCGTGCCTGAGAGTGGGACAGTAGACGGCTGTTATATACCAACTTTAGACTTCATTCACCCCTTAACTGACAGGGCACTGGAGGCTACATGTTTGGTGAACCAGCCGATTGTCAGTCTTGCATCACTTATCATGCCCCTTTCTCATACAGATGTGCAGGTCGGACATGAGGCAATAAAAGCTTGGCCCACCAACCACATGGGTCCTACCGCCCTGTCAACGTAGAGGTGAGTTGGTGGGGTCTGCTGAGTGCTTCTGGCGTAGCAGCTCGGCAGTGGTGAGTTACTAGAGCGCAAAATGCAATACCGCACTTTACTCTGAATGCTGCGAGCCATCGGAGCCAATCCAGTGCCGAAGGTGTGTCACGTTTCCTGTCCGTTGGGCGCAACGGCACGTTGAGCACAGTGTCATCTGGCAGCGACAAAGTGTCACAGAGCTTTCTGGACAAGCGGCGATAATCAAGAATGAAACGTGCCCTACAGCTAGCTAGCTTCGAGAGTGTTGCACATCGCAGTGTCAAACGAAACGGCAATATCAGTCAACAAGACCGAGTGCCGCTTTACGACGAGAGTGAGCCCGCCTCGCATCCATCCAAAACAGCGTGAAACTGGCAAAAAATATTCTAACCCTAAAATTAACTTGGGCTGTTCGTACAGAAGGAGCATGCTTCAAGGAAAGATTTGTGTGGGCATCCTTGTGTTCCGCAAGGCGTGCCTAGCCTTCAAATTTCTTGCGTTTGCTCTGATCAAGCTTTTCCGCACAGTTTTTTCCAGTGTATCGTTTAACAAAAAGTTACAGCTGTTTTGTACTGAGTAGGTTACAGGAACTAATGCCATCTGCAAATATCTCTTACAGCCGTGCTGTTTGAAGTCATCACAGATATAAACTACACGTTGCAGCAACTCTCAATCGCATTCCTGCCCGTCATGTCGAACAGCGTAGCGCTAATTTTAGTTTGAGGTCTGCACTCTTACTACAATGCAGATGGTGACAGCATCAGGCTGCACTCGGTAAGTTAATTTGAGACCGGTTCTTTGTGCGGCACTCCGCGAGTGCGATACACTCTATGAGATGACTCGCATAATGCCAGTGCATTTGAAACGAGCTTGCTATAAGGCCCGCTACTCATGGGATAAGTTACTCATATAGTTTTTGGGCAGCTGATGAGTTATTCCCCCCTCCACAGCAACACGCATTGCTGGTTTTGGGTACGACTTGAAACCGATGAGCAGCTCCGACAACTCTAAGGTGTTTGAAGCGGCAGGAGCAGTTCAGAGACACAATATTTCCACGTGACCTCCCTTGCAGTAGTGGTGATGGTGCGTTCAGTATCAACTCCCTCAGCTCCGAACGGAGTAGCTCGACTTGGAGTTCTCAGTGCATTTTAGAACACCTTCAAAAAAATCCCAAAGAAAGCTGCTTTTCTTTTTTTTTTTGTGGATGTCATGTCTGTTGGATTTTTCACTGGCCACTGTTGTTAAACTTCCAGAACTCTATGTGCCGAGAAATTGAGAGAAAGGAGGGGATGAGAGTGCAGGAATTTCAAAACGCAGAGCTCCGATTGGAGCGATTAGTGGGTAGACCTAAAGCTAACTGCCTTTGTCTGTACTGCACATGCAGAACGTCGGTGTCCAGCGTTTCGCATTCACATTCGAATGCGTTTGACGAGTGCAGTGGAGATAAAGGCAGCCTTTGTTTCTGCTGCACTCGTTGAACACGTTCGACTGCAGAACGCGGGCGTCCAGTGTTTGGCTCTCGCATTGAAACGTCCTCGACAAGTGCAGTGGAGACAAAGGCACGTAGCTTTAGGTGTACCCACCAATCCCTCTAACCAGAGCTCGGGTGTCCTGACGTCCTTGCGTGCTCTCTTCCACTCTTCTCCCTCATTTTCTTGGCACATCCATCATGGGCAGATTTTAAGGATGGGGGACTAAAGCCCCCAAGGTTAACTTTTTTCAGTGAAAAATCTACATATGCCAGCTTTTGTTAGGAAAAAATGATTAGTGGCTTCCATCCATACTCGAGAACCGAACTAAACGCAACAAACTACTTCCATAAATTCCTGCATGCAACACGACGCGCGTTGCACTCTGGGAACTAGTTAGCCAGGGAGGAGAGTGGCATGGTTTCGGTTTCGATTGACACGTCGACAAGAGATACCCAGAGCGTGGACCATAAACGGCCGTTATCTCATATTTTCTGGTATCGAGAGCGTCATTTGTGGTCTCTAAACTAACCCAAATGGCCAGACCTCGAATCTTTAGCGCAAGCCCGAGAAGTATAGCTTATCTTAACGCATGCTTGTTGTATTTTTGTACTTGAGCCTTTTTGTTAGCGGTTCGAGGTATGTGGACGAGCCAGTGCTGGGAATGTCGACGCTGCGAAGCTCAGGGATCTTGCTTGTGTACGAATCAACAAGCTGTAGCAGCCAATAAGTATGCATACATCGAGTTCGCGCCTTTACATTAGTGTTGCTGATCAGGAATTTTTTTTTTTTTCGTGCGTCCATAGACGAAATATAACTTTTTGCAATTACTGTTTTTCTTAATACGCCTGAGTATGCGAAGTAAAACTCTGACGTGCCATTGAAAAGCTCCATTCGAACACACTTCTCTTATCTGTACTGCCCCGCAGCACTGCACAAAGTGAAGTCCCCACCCGCTTGCCTTCCACTAATATTCAACATCACGTATGCGCATAAAGTTATCCTGCAATAATATAGGTACATTCGCACATACAAAAAAAAAGCAGAAGTCGAGCACTTGTGTGAACAATGTCGCACCGTTCGCTGGAAGTGCACTGGACAGGCATGAATTCTGCGGTGTGTTGAACGAACGAAATTATTCAAAGCGCATTTGACGGTTGCTAATGGCCATAATATTTGTTATGTGTTTCCTTTCTTTCTGACTGAGTATGCCGAGATAATTTCAGACACACCATTCAGGCACAGATCTTGGGCGTCAGTAAAAGCTCATCCAAAAAGGCTGAGGAGGAGTTGGGGACGCTTGTTAGGGCCTCCGTCGTAGCTAGCCGATCTTAGCGTTTGCGAAAACTTAATCTTCTATCAGCATAAAATTTGAGTGTGAGATATGTGATGACATGAGGAAGACATCACAGTAACTTTTGTGCAGTAGTGAGGTTGAATTTATTGTTTCCTTAAAAGTTAATGCGCCAATGCTGGGCTTAACTTTGATACTCCTGTGAGGATGTGGCTTGCTTTTCGCCCAATGAAGTAACAAGAAGCGTACGTTTGGCAAACAAAATACGTGTAGGGCTCAAGGTGACCAAATTTCAGTTGTAGTTCACTGGTACTGGACGGGATTACTGGCACTGAGCTCAAAGATGCACTCGAGGGGTGAGATGACTAAGCCACGTCTTACTACGTTTGCATACGCACACATAATATCCGGTGTTTCTGGAACCAAGGAAAGTGCCCCCTTCTTCGTTTTGTATCACTGGAAAATGTGTGTATTGTACATTCGTAAAAAAAGTCAGATAATCAAAAACGCGAGCAGCATATTTGGGTGCGGAGTGATAGCATGAGGTGAAGCTGCTCAGTCGAAACCGAAACTAAGTGGCCAACCAGTTCCCAGAGTGCACTGCGTGGTATTTCGCCGCGATGGGGCGTGTCGGTTTTGGAAGGAGTCTATTGCAACGCCGCCATTTCTCCCGCAGCTGCCACTAAGGAAACTACACGGCTACACTTGGTGGTTCCGTCGAGTCGCAGAAGAGCCAGTGGTGCTAAAGTTCCTTTATAGGCTCCCTACGGGAGCCATAGTTGCGTGTTCATCCCTGTAGCGCCGTCTTTTCTGCACGGCATATGGAGCCTGCTCCTCATGTGACTGAATTCGGCGAATGGCAGCACAGTGTGCTAAAAAGCAGGGGAACGTATGCCAGGGTGCGTGCAATGCGTACTTTCGTGCACGGCATTTGAGTCTGCTCCTCACATGATCGCATCTCGGTGAGTAGCGGTGCGGCGGTATGTGGAAAACAGTCATGCAACTATGGCTCCTGTAAAGAGCCTATACAGGAACTCTATGTGGCGCCATCTCGCAGGGCCATTTTTAGTAGCTAAATAAAACAGCTTGCATGTTTTAATTTGTCGCAAAAGGGTGGCGCTGTTACCGTATTTAGTTTGGTCTTGGTGGACGCCAGCGGTCCAGGTTCCAGGAGTGAGTGTTCCAACTGAGCGTTTTAATAACGTTGGTGTTTAGTGACATAACAAATATTAGGTTAGCAAAACAGATCTGGGCAACATTTTGCCCATGATATCATCTCCCTTTCCCCCCAGTCTGCCCGATAAATTTGCCCCTGCTCTGCATTGCCCTGCATGTTCGGGTCAGATATTGGTTCCTGTTGACCTGATGGACTCCTTTGTTCTCTGCATTCATCATAGGTTACCGTCGTGAATCATGGACCAAGACTGCATTCTTAGGCCCACTCCTTTTTGGTGGATCAGGTCTTGCCGTCTTCCCCTTTCGTGGCTTCCTCTCGTAATTAAATAAATTGTCATATTTTTTTCTGATGGTGGTGCATACTTCTTGCCACACTTGACAAAAATAGTGTGGTGAATCCATGCCACAGATTACTGTGAAACATGGAAGGTAATTATTTAGAAGATTAAGCTCCGAAAAGTTTGATGAAAAGACGATAGATATACCCCGTTTAATATTTCTGGCCACTTTAAGCATGCTATCTCCGAAGTATTTCACCTTATCATTGCATCGGCTTTTGACCATTCACACTTGCACGGAAAAGCAATCGGCAAGGGTTTCCAAGTCTGTTCTGTTTGTATTTAATTACTGAAACAATGAAACAAGGTTTATAGACATTACTAAGTGTATTTCGGCTCAACTAAATGTTCAAACTTTAGGCTATTTTGTTGCCATTATTATAAGTTTCTGCTAAGGTGAATATGTGTTCCTTATAATAATTAAAACAAGAAAACGAAAGAAACACTGATTACATTTGTCTTCGCAGTTTTTACAGAAGACCCATCGCTATCACCATCACTATTTTGATTTTTTCCAAGATGGCCGTCTTGCTTCGTGAATGTTCCGTGACTTCGGCGATTTACGCGACTTACGAACAGCATTGCCTAATTGGTACGTTAATTTTGGTGGCTATTTATCGTGTAATATCGTGGGTATCTTGTGTTTGTACAGAAAGTAGTATTTCAGGTTAAGATTGTTCTTTGTACAGCGTTAGCTCGGTGGGTCGTCTCCTCTGAACTACTTGCCTTTTGTCCACGTTTCTTTCCCTCCCAAACCCATCACACTTTCTGGTTAATTTTCCTGTTTCCAATACCTGCTATTTTGCTAGCAAATATCCACAAACGTAGGTACCATGCAGCTCTACCTGCACTGTTCTTTTTATGTAGCGCAATTACAAGAACCGCTTTTGTTTTGAAATTATTTAACTTGCGGCGTTCTATAATATCGTTAGGCAGCCCAGTTATGTTCGCAAAGAACACTTGGCTAAGTGGTGGCGGATAGCACTTATGTTGATGAAATGTTTTGCTTCCGCATATCTGGAAAGCATCGGGCAGCTGTCAACTATCTAGTGAAGAGCCGAAGCAAGACGGTAATGTTGGTGGTACGAAACTGAATAGTACTTTTTGTTAAATATTTATTTATTTGCTTGTCTGCTCGGCAGTGCCGCCTGTACCTGGACAATACCTTGGAAGATAATGCAAATACGGAGACAAAGCTGTACAGTGGTTATACTCTACATCTGCACTCTGAATAACGTGATGTCTCGGTAACCACGCACGCTTTGTTACAGAGAGATTTGTTTCGCTACCTGCTAGGCATCACTGAGGTACTTTAGCTGTGTGCCTTTATTTTAAGCTAATAGAATGTACTGCACCTAAAACAAGCAGTTGTAGAGGAGCGCCGTTTAGTGATTCCATTCGATCGTCGTCTGAAAGACTTAGCTAAAGGCTACCGCACGATTCGGTGAAGCTTGTTGACCTATGCTTTGAGCAGCCGCTCTTCTTTGTTAGGCCGTAAACCAGGCAGAACGTAAAATTATTCTTGTGAAAACAGCAGTGTTTTGACAAGCACGAAAACTTGTCTATAATACTCTGAACATGCTGGCCGCCCAAGCGACCGATTTGCTGACTGACCGGCTCGGCTTTGTCATTGGCAAAGGCGGAACAAGCAAATGCTAGAGCATGCAGCCAAGTTCGGTGAATTGCGTATTTCTAAAAACAAATTTGCTAAAAGGTTGTTTGTCGCCATTTTCTCTTAAAGGGCAACTCCGGCCAAAACTCAAAATGAAATAAATTACTGGTATCGCTGTAGTGACATAAAATACGAGCCCAGCCAAAATATTACGTCCGTGGGACGCCGCATTCTCAACAAATGCCGATAATAAAAATGCGACCCGCCGCGAGCCGCTGCTCCTTAGCGGGCGGCCAGCGGGTTGCCGATCGCTAAAGCAACATTGGGCCGTGACGTCAGTATCGTTCTTTTATTTTTTTTTCCTCCGGTCCAGGCGTTGCGCGGAGTGCACTTCTCTGAGCCGCCACCACCGCTACTTCGGCTTGTGATTGGCGTGTTCAGCCGATGCTTTTATCTGTAGCCCATGTAGCTTCGGTATACCCTTTCGTTTATTCGCTTGGAGGACTCCAAGACTCGTTTTAGCAAGCATCGGTGCGCCCAAGACAGCCCAGCTGTTCCTCGAAAGATGCCGAGTGCAACTTGTACCGCTGTGGGATGCTCAAACAATTCGCTGCGCAGCACGGAGGTGCTTTTTCACACGTTTCCAACGGACCGCAAATTGGTGAAGGTGTGGGTGAATGCTGTTCGGCAAGTGGACTTTGGACTTCGGCTTTTATGCGCCCGAGAAAAAAAAAAAGAATGAAAAAACAGACGTGTACAGCCCAGCACACGTGTTCGGGCGCCGCGGCCCACGCCGGAGAGCCTCAAAGCTTTGTGTCTCGGACTGACCCGCCGCGCGAAAGCGAGAGGGCCCCCAGTACTGTACGTCACTAGCAGCGCGGCATAGATTAACACCGCTCCATCCACGGAGCCCCGATGACAATTTAGGCCTAGCGACGAGTACGGAAGACCGCACACACGGCGATAGCCGCCGAGTACGGCACCGAACGAGTTCACTTGTTTTGCAGTCGCTAGCTTTTGGGTATACAAGCGACGGGTACGTCATAGCGCACACACGGCGGCGGCCGCCGAGTACGGCACCGTACGAGCTCACGGGTTTTCCAGGCGTTAGCTTCTGGGTATACGCACTAACTCTTGCTAAATATGCTAGATAACTACCACGTACATAGAATTAAAACAAAATCAGCTTACTTCCTATCTTTAGACGGCTAGCGCAACTGAGGTAGGTGCCGCTCGGCCTGCGTACTCGTTGAATGAGAACGATCCCAACGTCACATTCACATAGCGGCTGATTTCCAGTGTTGTCCTTGCCTCGAGCGGCTAGTTTCGGTTTTGTTGGCCGCGCCCCAAACAAAACTATGGGGCGTCGATATCTTTTAAACAACACACAATAACGAGAAAAAATTACACCTTGCAATTCAGGGACGCTGACTGCATTAAAAACAGTCGTAATCCCAAACTCAAAAGTATGGACCGGAGTTGCCCTTTAACTGGGTGTCTTCTTGAAAGGATTCAAGAAAAGGAGGGTTTCAAAACCGGTGCTTGGGAGAACAGATGCCTCCGCTCAGGCGGTACACACCAATGTTCTCGGATCTATCGGTTGAAGAGCTCCACGGAAGAGCAGCGTTAAAAAAAAAAATGAGACGTTTACAATTCTCTGTAATGCGAAAGTAGAATGCAGCACTTGACGAGGAGGGGAGGGTTTACCTCTCCCTTCCCTCCAATTTAGCAGAAAATGTTAGCTAAATTTCCTGCCCAATTTAGTGGGTTAAGTTTCCCCGCTACATTTCTCGGGGAAATTGACGTCAGGTGACCCAACACATATTTAGCGGGGGAAAATGACGTCAGATGACTAACACCCATGAACAAATTCAGTTTCTCCGCTAGACTTAGCGGGAAAATTGGCGTCACGTGACTTCAACACCAATTCAATTTCCCGCTAAATTTAGCGAGGTAGTTACATAGACGGCGACACCGCTAAATGCGGAAACAGGTGCCTAAGAGCTATAAGAACCACAATAAAATCACTTTCCACTGCAGGTAATATGCATCGAACATTCCACCGGATCTGTCCAATCTGTCCATAGGGTGGGCTGATAGTGTGGCAGGCGCCACTGAGCGGACGCACTGCAAAAAGGCGTCTGGCGTTTTCAGAAGCTTGTCAACTGACCTAGATGTGAGAATGTTTGTACATGTATTGCTACCATTGCCCAGCGACCGAATATTGTTGGAGATCTGTGTTTCCTGAAAAATGTTTTTACAATGTTTGCACTTTGGTTAATGCAAGCACATCTTTTTTTTTTTCACTAATATTGACTAACAACATTGTAGCAATCAATCCAGTTGACACCGAAATGTTATAAGCAATAAAGAAATTAAAACCAGGCTGTTCTGCGAGTGCAGATTTGTATATCTTGTTTTATTGTTAAGGGCGGCACCGATTTGTTTGTCCCTTTATAGACCCTTTCCGAAATTCAGTCTGGCCACTTTGATCACTATCATCACCATCTGAAAAATGGCATATGTGCCATACCAATGGCGGCTTTCTATTTACTGATGAAGGAACATGTTGAAAATACTCCTAAGCTGAGGATTCGAGGCCTATACGTTCTAGACGTTAGCTCGTTGCGAAACCGGAATTGAATGCAAGCGCTGCGTAAGTGTTCATTTCTTTAATTCAAGCCCAGTGAACCTGTTAGTGGCACAAAATCGATTTCGAGACCCCTTGACTTATAGAACTTTATCAAGGTGTCTGTCTGGGTTGGCGCTTCGTTCTGACTGGTTGCGTCGTTGTGGGAATCGACACTGGAAGAGATGATCCAGAAAAACCTGTATAGCGAAAAGTTTATTCTCGTCTGCCGTTGACATGCAAAAGTGACGGTGCCCGATAAAATACTGCAGGCTACAAGTTCATTGCCGCCATTCGTATGGCAAAAGTTAAACCGCCATTTCAGCCACCAGATGGCACTGAATTTCGGAAAGGGTCTATTCAAGCATGCATTTCATCTCCGAGAAATCATGATCTTCCGTTGTGCTGGAAGAGGTCTCGTAGTACAAGTATAGGACGTTGGTGACATGTATAGGGTAGACAGTCATTGCCTCATTTCCTTACTGTATGCTCGTTTGAAAGTGTCTAGATAGTTATACACAGACATGGGTCTTTTTACTCCAGTTAAAAAGCGGCACAATTCAATGCAATGTTTTTCGAAGGTTGCTCAGGAAAAACTATTTTATGTAAATTTGAATACACAGCACCATTTGTTTTTGACGGAAGCAAGTTCATATAATTTATTTTGATTTATAACATGCTTTTGACAAGATCAACCACAAATTGGTTGCGTAAAAACCTTTATTGCATGGTGTAGCATTGCCACTTTTAAAAGTCGCTCACGAGGTGAGG